CATTTGCTCCAGCCAAGCGCAGAAAGTGGGCTTCGGAGTTGCAGAAGACTTAGGCCTGCATGTGGGTATTGGTCTAAATTCCCTATAATACGGGGTCCTATATTTGGGTTCCCATTATAATACAGGGCCCTATATAAATTTCCTCCATTTTGGGGACAGTAATTTAGGGAAACTACCATGTCACTCGTTTCATACAAGGAGCGCATGCAAGAAAACGGTGCCCTGCAGAGGCAAGCTGGCAAAGAGCTTCCCATCCCTCCCATCAACTGCAGCCCCCCTCAGCGACCTCCGGGATGTGGAGGCGCGCCTTGTGCAGAAGCTCAGGATGGTGAGTGAGAAGTGAAGCCTATCAGGCGCGCCTCAAATCGATAGAGCCAATGGCCAAGTTGAGGTGTTATTAAGCAGTCTGAGAAAGTGACTGGGCCGGAAAGGCTGAGATTCTCTTTTCTCTTTTGAGGTCTGGCATCGGAAAGAAGAGAGCGCTGGAGGGGATTAGCCTTTCTGCGCTTGCAGGGAGCTTTGCATGCTCGGACTTAACCTTTGTGTTGAATCCTGCTCAGTGTGAACAGCCTTGTCTGGAAGCCTTTCTCGCTCTTTTCAGAGCGGTCACAACATTTCCCAGAATCCGCTGTTTACGTGAGCAACGGACTAAGACTTTTCGTTTACCTATGTCCAGGGTTCGGGCAGAACTCCTGGAAATCATGCGTTTGGTCTGTAAAACCAGATCAGCTTCTGCGCTTCAGTGTGAATTTGTTGGAAAACGGGATTCAATGCCCAAATGAAGTGCTGCAAAACAAGATAGATACAGAGCTTCAGGCACTACAGCAGGTACACGGGGTTCGCGATGCCCTCAAGATGCCTGTTCTTAGACCGTTGCATTCGGCAAAGGGAATCCTTCATGTGACTCATGTAAGGTGCTCAAAACCAAGCCGAACGAGATAGTCCGATTCAACATGCTCCAGAGCACGTACAATAAGATGGAACGAGATTGCAGAACCAACAAGGGCCGGACAATAAATTTGAACCGTTGCTAACATAAAACCTTTTACCTTGCACAGAGCCGTGCCCAAGTGGCAAGGCGGAGAAGTACCTTGGCAAGCCTCTGGACAAAGCTTTCCAGGCATTTGTTCACAACCCTTCGTCTGCTTGTGAGACTCAAGTTCTTCAGGTGGGAGATTGGACCCATCGACCTTTATCAAAGGCCAGCGTTGCTGCAAGGTGCCTGTGCGCACCCTTTGGGTTGTTTGACCTCTTTCGCAGGCACGGATGCACTATGCCGCGCTGGATGCATGGGTTCCTGTGAAGGTGGCTGTGGCAGTCCCCAGTGAGATAGTGCGGCACATCTTCAACTCAGTGGTTTGTGCAGGTGTATGAAGCCCTTCAGAAACGAATGCAGCTTCAGCCTGCATCGGCCAAAACAGTCGCTGCATCATTGGGTGAGCGTTGCCCACATGGGTTTTGATGTGGCAGTGCGAATTCTGAATTGCAACCTGACGGTCGGTCCAGGACAAGATTCTCAAGGAAAGCGATGAGTTTGTGCCGGAAACCGAGCATGGCTGAGCTCAGGCAGACGCATTTCGATCTGATCGGCGCTGGTAAGGTCAACTATGGCGGCCTTGCTTCAACCATACTGTGAGGAAGCATTGGGAAAGGCAGGAGTGTGTTATCACACTTGATGCTAGTGAGGCAAGTGAACAGCTCCAGCTGCAGGTAGTAGATGCCAGAACGCCTGGTCTGGTGAGCCTCTCCTTCCCCCCTTCAGAGGCTAGTTGTGCTCAACAGTCTGTAAAGACTGAGACGGCTCAACTGCTCTTCGAGCAGAGGTTTTAGAGCTTGGCTGCAGGACGTGGAGCCCCAGCCTACAGAGGACTACATTCTAGCAACTTTCTACTCGACATGGAGACGAAGGCCGCAAGCCCATCCAGTTCTTTCCACAGTCCTAATGCGTTTCATCCCCGTGCAGTCAGCTGAAGATGATGCACTTCTTTGGACCAGGAGTTGCTCAGGCACCGGCAGCCATCAATGCCCTTCAATTTTGTTCCAGGGAGCACAGTGCTCTAGCCTGTGAAAAGGATCCAGACGGTGAAGTAAAGTCAATGTTAGACTCCTGCCCCTCAAAGTTGAGCATGCGAATGGCCACCTCCAGAGCTGTCAATGTCTTTCAGGTGAGCCCTGGACCAAATTTGTAGTATATCCCTCAATAGGTCCCCCTCAAAACCCTATAAAGTCCCTTAGAGGTCCTCCCTCCCCAACCTAAATTTAGTCCGTAGCTCAGGTGAAGCTGAAACCTAGTGAGGAGGATTCGGCTGCTTGGCTGAAGTTCTGCCACTCTACACCTTCACCACTGACGGCTTCTTGCCAGGCCGAGGAGGCTAGCCCGCAGGACGGCCCAAGTTCTACTTTTTACTGGGTTGCTGTTCAAGAACTTAATTTCAGTTACCACAAGGAAACTTTATTATCTACTACATAGGCATAATGGTCACTTAATTTTAAGTTCCTTAACAGCAACCCAGTTTAGCTGCAGAGCCTGGCTGAGCTATGTGTTCGCTGCTCTCCCTCATGTGGCCCATGATTATCTGCTGCAATTTGCCCAAGCGCTATGGCGCCTTATGATCAATCAGAAAACGTTGAATATAAAATCCAGGAACGTTTATCAAGCATTGAAGGATGGTTGCGTTGCGAGATAAACCTAGTAAGTCAGTATGAAGTTCGGTTGTCATTGCAGTTGCCTTCTTTAACTGGGTTGCTGTTAAGGAACTTAACTTAAGTCACCATAATGGGTCTATAATATATAGTAGATATTAGGGTTTCCCCAATATAGTAACTTAAATTAGGTTCCTTAACCCTAAACCCCTAAACACCTAACCCCTTAACAGCAACCAAGTTAAGTGGAGAAGCAGGTGTAGGTTAGTGAGCCACTTCGAAGAATGCTTGGGCCCGGGCTGCCTTTCGCCGTGACTCCCGAGAAGAGGTGGACCATGGTGGCCCCGTATCGGGATAATGGAAAAGAACATGGAAAATAGAAACTACTATAGGGTTTAGGGTTTAGGATGGTTTCTGGGCTGAGGGTTCAGGGGTTTAGGGTTTGGACTTGGAGATTTGCCATGGCTGGGTAATTTCCTAAGAGGCGCAGCCCGTGGAAAACCACACCCAGCACAGAGCCGCCAAAATCCTGCAGTTAACTCAGCTGCAGATGCGTGCATATCATTCTCGCGCTTCCCACATGAAAATTTACCAACATTGTCGCCCGTATAACTCTAGTATTAACATGCCCACAAGAATCCTTTTGTAACTTAGTGATTCGAATTCTTGTTTGGTCCTCTTTGAGGCAGTCGATCCTCAACTCCCAGCTCGGACTGCCAGGGTCTGAATGGTTTCTTTACAGGGTTGCTTTTGGAATTTGACTTAAGGTTTAGGGGCTTATAAGAATTGGAGCAGCAATTTGAAAGTCATGTATTACTGGGGATGGTACTTGGATTTGTGGTCCCTCTACCGCACATTCATGTTATTGGTCACTGAATCTAAGCGCCTTTTGAGACCATGTTATGGTTACTGGTTTTAAGTTCCTTCTAACCTCCCTAAACCCTAAACCCACAAATCCTAAACCATACCACCCAAAGCCCCTAAACCCTAAAGCCCTACACCCCTTAAACTCTAAACCCCTGAACCCCTAAAACCCCAAACCCTAAACCCCCCGAACCCTTCCAAGTCTTAGTCAGAGAGCGGGTGGATCTGGCCACTTATAATTTACAATAAGATCTATCGTATATTACATTAGCCTATATTATATATACTCAAATGTAATACCTAAACCCTAAATCCTAAACCCTCAACCAAAACCCTATAGTAGAATATATTACAGTAGCGAAGACCATATGTATTATAGCAACCCTAAATCCTAAACCCTCAACCCAAACCCTCTAGCATAGTATAGTATATTAGACTATCTTTTTTCATATAGACTATTAAAACCCTAAATCCAAAACCCTCAACCGAAACCCTATAGTATAGTACATTGTAGTATCTTATGCCATATATACTATAAAAACCCTTCAATCCTCAACCCAAACCCTACGT